CTGATCGGTGTTTCTCTCTCATTGATGTTTCTGACTCTCTATCTCTCTCCCTTCCTCTCTATAAAAAATCAATAAAAAAAAAATATATTAAAAAAAAAAACTTCCTATGTCGCATTTTCTGAAGGTGATAACATCATAGATATTTTTACGCTTAAAAATGTCTAATTTCGTGCCAATAGGACTGTCTCAGCTCCGCGCTCATCTTATGGGACCGCCGCCTGTACGCGGTCTGCCACTGATGGAAATGCCAGGATATGGCACACGACTGCGTTCCTATGCTCTCTGGCTAGATGCCACCCGGGGGCTAATTCAATAGGGAATTTCATTAAACGCACTGACTTTTGTTCGCTCTCTTTTCGGATAGTGGGTGCATAGGTATGTAGCGACAGTTCAAAGAACACTGCATACCAGGTTCAAAATGGCGGTTTCCGCCCGGCCGGCGTGGCTCAGTGGCTGAGCATCGACCTATGAACCAGGAGGTCATGGTTTGACTCCCAATCAGGGCACAGGCCCGGGTTGTGGGCTCCATTCCCAGTGTGGGGCGTGCAGGAGGCCGCCGATCCATGGTTCTCTCTCATCACTGATGTTTCCATCTCTCTCTCCCTCTGCCTTCCTCTCTGAAATCCATTTTTAAAATAAATATAAAATTGCAGGGGAGGAGAGGCACCGCGATGGGGCTGGGCCCCGGGGCCTCTGGCTGAGTGTGTTCCATCCCTTGCGGCCTGAGCCACACTCTTCAGGACCTTCCCGTCTAATAGGGTGAGCCTGCCGGTGGTCCCTGGCCTTCTGCATGTGTCCTCTAGGCCGTCTTGTTCATACCCTTTGCCCACTGAGCTGTCTGTCTGTCTGTCTTTCTCTTCTGGGACAGTTAAATTCTTTGTTTGGACCAATTCCATCCGCCCTGTCGATCTGCCCCCTCCTGATAACCGAGTTCATGTCTTTCAGGGAGATGAGCCCAGCAGGCCTTCCCGACGCCTGCTGTCTGGCGCCCTGTGGGGAGGGGTATGGGTAGCTGTGTGATGTGACTGGTCAGCGATTTAACCGGTTGCAACCTGTTGGGGGTGATCATCATCGTCAACCTCCCCCGAACACAGGCCACATGCCCAGCACAGTGCCACGCCCGGTCATAGGCAGCCTGTTCCCAGACACCCCTGCGAAGCAGACCTGACCCTCCTCACCCCACGGAGAAGGAAGAGAATCCTTAGCACCCCCATTCCTTCCAGGCCCAGGAAGCCTGGGACGAAGATGGTGTCAAGGGCAAAGAGGTCACCAGCGGCACCGCCACCCTCTCAGCAGCCAGGGGTGGTGGCCAGGGAGGTGCCTAAGTGGGCGCCAGGCTCTGCCAGCAGCAGCCCGGTGGGGGCCTTGGCAGCAGGCTCAAGACTCCCCAGGCTCCTCTTCAGCGAAGAGAGATGAACTGTCTGGAGGAAGCCAACAGAGGAGCTGTTGACAGCAAGCCCCATCCTTAATGAGCGTTCCTTCTCGGCTTTCAGAGCATTAGGGGCAACTCGGCGCCCCCAGAGAATAACACCTCCCTTCCCGATGTCATTTCAGAGGGAGGCGCTCCCAATCTCTCCGTCTCCACTCTTCCCATGTTAATGGCTTCGTTTCCTGTTTACACAACCATCACCATGTAAACTAACTTTCAAAAGAAGGATGTGGGATGGAGGAGGGGGAGGCTGGCTGGAGGGGAAGGGGGTTCCCCATTCATTAAACCAACACTCCCCGAGTCAGGCTGTAAGCCTAGAGCTGGCTCTGCCCGCAGGAGCTGCCGCCTAGACAGAGTAGCTGAAGGGTGACCTGGTGCGGCTGCCATGACGCCACCGAATACCCCGTTCTGTGTCGGGGTGTCCCCTGGGCCCCTGGAGGAGGAGGTGCCTGTGCGAGGCCGTGATGGATGAGTGGGAGTTTTCCAGATCCAGCAGAGAGGAGAGAGTTGGTTAAACCACCCATAACTATGTTTTAGTGTCTGTCATGTACCGGCGATTGTTCGAGCCACTGAAGAAAAACACGGGGTGGGGGAATGAGTAAACAGAACGTAGCCTATCCCACAATGAAACAAACGAGCGACACCCAGACTGGCCTCGCGGGGCTTGGAGTCTAAGGGAAGAGCCAGGAAAATCGGAAGTGACATGCAACCAGAAATGTAAAAAACATGAGAGAAACGCCTGGGTACAGATGGCAGACTGGACTCGCACCGTGATTCTTTCCTGACACCCCACCTGCATGTCAGCACAGGGATTTTTATGTGAAGGTAGAAACCACCATGGATGGGCACTGGGAGAGGGACAACAGCCACAACACAGGAGGCTGGAGAGGACATCTTGGGGGACTGAGAAAACGGAGTCCCTCTGGCCGTGGAGGAGCCCAGGAGGCACCCTACCCTTCACCACAGGCCCCTCGAAAGCTCAGGAGCCAGAGGCGCCGCGTAGCTCTGAAGGTCGGGACGCAGGAAGGGGTGACAAACAGGAAGGATCGGTGGAAAGTCTGTTTAAGAAGCAGTGGGAGGCCCAGATCCGTCCTCTACTAGAAGAGGCTGGGATGCGCCCCGCCCGCCCCTGCACAAGGCCACGGGCTCATTCTCCAGAGAGAGATAGGCAGAGGGTCTCAGGCCCTGGGGAGACCAGGACAGAGAACAGCATAGTGTCCAAAGCAGAGGGAGTAAGTAAACATCAGCGTTCTGGACCCCTGTTCTCCTTCTCTTCTTGGCAGGAGATTAGAGGGATCCTCTCCAGAGCATCTGACCAGTCTGCAGAGAATGACCTGGAGACAGTACCGTGGGGGATTGCATAACCAAGAGCGAAACTGGGTCATCCTACCATGAAGCTCGGCGAAGAAACCCGTCCTACAAACTCAGAGATTGCAATCAGCTTGTTCACCCCCAAGTCTGAAAATAGAATCCATCAGGGGTGAAAAGACCAAAAGGAGTAAGAAAGGACTATGTAGGAAGAAAAAAAATACCACTTAATATCTTCAGAGATAAGAGAAGATAGTGCAATTATAAAATAAAAACAGGATGTGATAAAAAAGGAACTTTCAGACCAAAAGAACTCTGATAAGGTCAAAATATGAGAGCAGAAACCAAAGACTAAATAGCAGGCTGAACGCCAAATTAGATAAAATCTACCAGGGAATTGAGGGGGGGAAAAAAGACAGAGATGTAAAAAAACCCCACAAAATGAAACATTAAAAAAATAGGGATTGAGCCCAGAGTTCCAATATCCTAATAGCAAGAGATCAGGAAGAAAGCAGAGAAAAAAAGGAGGGGAGAAAATCACTATTGAAACAATATAAGAAAATTTCCTAGTTTTGAAGGACCCTAATTTCTAGACTGAAATAACACATGGAGTGCTTAGAATAGTGGACTAAAATAGATACAACAGCATGTCATTATGCAATTTCAAAGTATTAGAGAGAAAGAGAAGCTCTTACAACCTTCTGGAGAAAACTACCTGAAGCTGGAAGACCATGGAGCAAGGTGTTTAAACTTCTGAAGGAAAAAGATTGCTGACCTAGAATTCTATACCCAACCAAACTATCAACCAAGTCGTAGGAGAAACATATTTTCAGATGTGCAAGGTCCCCAAAAGGTTACCTCCTGTGGGTTTTTTCTCAGGGAACTGTAGTTGACCCTGAAAACACAGGGGTTAGAGGCAACAACCCCTCCAGCAGTTGAAAATATTCGTGTAACTTTTGATTCCCCCAAAACTTAACGACTGATAGTCTATTGCTGACCGGAAGCCTTACCGATAACGTAAACAGCCGACTCACACATATTTTGTGTGCGATATATATTATATACTGTATTTTTACAATAATATAAGCTAGAGAAAAAGAAAATGTTATTAAGAAAAGAAAAAATATATATTAATAGGACGGTACTGTGCTGTATTTATTGATACTGTAAGTTTAGGTTGTCTGTTTAGATGAAAAAAAAAATCATGGATAAGTGAACCCTCACAGGTCAAATCTACGTTATTCAAGGATCAACTGTACTCCACCCAAATGAAGGAGCAAACCAAGAAAGGGGAAGGCGTGGGTGGGAGAATACAAGAGCGCGGCCAAGGGACTCCCCAGGATGACGGTGACGGGGAATCCCAGGACGACCCTGGCCAGCAGAGGGGACACCCAGCTCAGACCCGAGAGAGTCAGAAGGCCACGGGCCACGTGCCTTCCAGGAGATGAAACCAACAGACAGCTTTAGGAAACTGGCAGAGAGCTGGGGTAGAATTTGCGGCAAGGATGCAGAACACAGAGCCAGTTCCAGGGCAAACAGAAAGCTGTTC